AAGATTAAATCTTAAATTAATCCCCCAGTTATTCTTATGCGGCCAATTTAGTCTCATATTATCATATTTCTTCAATTTAGTCTTAGAGTTATCATATATGATTAAATCTTTAATTGAAGAAATATGATACTCTGTAATTAAATTGGTCAAATACGAATAGTTGGGTATCACTATGCTATTTAACCCAACAACAACATCAAACCTTTGTCCCACTATGTGGGGTCGGCTACATGAATCCTTTTTCGACATTGTGTCCTGTTAAAAGTCATATTCTCATTTAAATCTAATAAAGAAAGATCATTTTTAATATTTTCTAACCAAGTCTTTTTAGGTATACCTCTACCTTTCTTAATATAAGACAAATCTAAAACCTCAACTTTCCTAACCGGGTCATCGGAAGGCCTCTGTTTAAAGTGACCAAACCATCTAAGGAGACTCTCTCTAATATTATCTTCCATTGGAGCTACTCCAACCTTTTCATGTATATGCTCATTTCATATTCTATCTCTAAGGGTAAAGCCACTCATCCACCTAAGCATCCCCATCTCTACAACACTTAACTTAGTATTATGCTTCTCTTTTAATGGCCAACATTCGGCACCATAAAGCATTGCAGGTCTCACCACCATCTTATAGAATTTTCCCTTAGGTTTGAGGGGGGCTTTTCTATCGCACAACAAGCCCGATGCATTCCTCTACTTAAACCATCCAACTTGAATTATGCTAATAATATCCCCATCTATTTCACCATCTCTCTGAACAATAGATCCAAGATATCTAAAACGTGTACTCTTCTTATTAATGACTTGATCACCCAAAGTCACAATCCCCTCACTAGGTCTATTGCTACTAAAATTACACTCCATATATTCAGTTTTAAATCTACTCAAGAGAAAACCTTTGGACTCTAAGGTTGACCTCCAAAATTCAAGTTTACCTTCAACTCACTCTTTAGTCTTATCATCAAGTAGAATATCATCAGCAAAAAGCATACACCAAGGTACATCCTTTTGCAAATGTCTAGTGAGAACATCCATGACTAAAGAAAAAAGATATGAGCTTAAGGCTGATCCTTGATGTAATCCAACCGAAGTAGGAAAATACTTGGTCAAACCACCTTGTGTTTGAACACAAGTAATAACTCTTGCATACATATCTTTAATGATTTGAATATTTGTTTACCATCACCTGTGAAGGTTGCCAAGCTACTAGAGCAGAGGCTCTACCCCATCCATTTCGATTAAGGTTACAGAATCTACTTGTAGAGTATCTTATGCTTTGCCCAAACTAGTATGATGATGTTCAACCTAGCTCAAATAGCTTATAGTGCTCTTGGCAAGCTATACATATGGCATTAAAGTGAGTAGAGACATTCAATTTGGAACTTTATTCTTAGGGCTCATTTGGTTGCTTTTTCATACGTAACATGTCTTTAAAAATGAAGGTTTTATCCACTCATTTTGTATGTAAAAATGATATCATTAGGTTGGACTGAGTTTTAAGGAAGTTTGTTAAGTTTCACATTAATGTTGGTTACTTACTATATCTTGCCAAATGTTAGATTTAACAAATTTTGACATTTACCAAAATGTGCTCGCTGACTTCAAGAGTCCAAATGAGCCCTTGCTGCAGGAAAGAAATAGGAAATTGATTGTCAGGGAGCTATCCCTGCTAGTTTAGATAGATTAAACTATTTTTAGCTTAAAAAACTAGCTTGGGTATCAATGAACCCTTGAGAACAAATACCTTACGGCAAACTAACATCATTTGCTGATTTTGGATAGTGTGGAAACTCATTGAATAAACCCACCGCAGTAATCATGTCTAACATGCAACAAGACATATTGGCATTCAGCTAGAAATTTTTAACTCTGTTTTATTATTATTATTATTATTATTATTATTTTAAATTTTTTGCCTACATATTTGATATATCATCAAAAATTATCTTGATCGGGCACAAATCTCGATGCAAAATCAAGTTGGAAACTTCACAAATTAAATATGGGACCATCTGAATTCCGATTTTAGCAAACTTATATTTGAACTGAACATCTCAAAAACACGAACCCAACGACACCAAATTCGACCCAATCCGAGTTAAAATGGGTTCAAATCAAAGACTCAAAGCATCTTTGGAAGGTTCAAACCATAATTTTGATTAGCATATGATTTTCAAACATGACATGCTTATAGTTAAATCGAGCAGCTAGACGAGATGAATCCAACGAGCCCAATATCGTCGAATTTTGATATCATTAATACATTCAAATGCCCAATAAATGTGCCATGATCAAGGGATTTAACATCGGCCGTACATTCAAACCATTCCTAATTTATCGTTGATCTTCCTCTTATTTATTGGTCATGACACTCTAAAAAAATTATAAATAGACCCCTCATTTCTCATTGCAGGGGACCCCTAAAAGAGGGGAGCGAGGAGGAAGGGAGCCCAAGTAAGAAGAGAAGGAAGAGTTCTCTTGCCACCAGACTCCTCGAACACCTCCCAGCGACCAATCGATGTCGGTACTGAGCGGTACATGCTCTGTACTGAGCGGTACATGCTCGGTACTGAGCGGTACATGCTCGGTATTGAGCATATACAATAAACAAAATTTCAAAATTACTCTTATAATATAATTTTGTTCCGGGGGCGCTGCCCCCGGAAACCCCCGCAGGGGCGCTGCCCCTTGACCCAGCGACTTGACCGGGCAGGTCGAACTTGGACCCATGGCAGACTGGTATATTTTTGTATTCATGTTTTTTTTTTATTATTATTGGTAGTACAAATAATTGTTAAAAAATATGTCATATTGTTAGTACAAGGAATTAGGGATCATGGTTAGAGGCAAGGAAAAGGCGTCTGCGTCATTGCGGAGGGACCCTTCTTGGAAATATAGTGTACAAGTTGACATAGGCGGCGGAGAGAAGAGCTATGTTTATTTGAAATGCAATTTTTGCGAAAAAGTGGTGAAGGGAGGTGTTACCCGCATGAAGGAACACTTATCATGCTCGCATAAAAACGTAGCACCGTATGCAAATGTGCCGGAAAAGGTGAAGGAGGAAATTATTGCTTATGTGAAGAAAAGTACCACGGCAAAACACTAGCAACAAGAGCAATTTGATGATAGGGTCGAACATGGCGCTTATTTTGGGAGCGAGAGTGGAAAGGGATCTTCCTCCACTATACATAACAGAGGTGCACGGGGTCCTATGGATCAGTATATGACTAATCCAGAAGAGGATAGAGGACAAGCACAAATGATGCCTGCGGCCGGTACTAGAGAGGGTCGACGCCAAGTTTGCATGGATATTGGGAGGTTTTTTTTTTT